TCTCTTCTTTGTAACGATTGGCGTTTCACAACTGAACTAAGTTACAATTGCTGGCTTTGAGAATGGTTTAGAAAATTTTATTCCAGAACTGTTTCACCACAGATGCACCCTCAGCGTTGCTTGGAGTTTCATTTAGCCTTGCTAACGCCGTGAGAATGCTTGGACAACCTAATGTGTATAAGACGTGCAACCACTGCACCCGCATAGATATACAACACTGGGATTCAATGGTGTCTGCAAACTGCGAACTGCGTGCCATTTTCACACGGATCATTTCCGGTCATCCCAGTTTGGTCTTATCGACCTGAGTCCAAAACACCATGAGAATACCGTCAGTGTGGCAATCTATGCCGGTCTGATGGAGGAGGTATGTAACTACAACAACTCACTCTGGTCTCAGTTCATACAGGTAGTTGTGGTTATCCGGGTTTGTCGTTTTACGGTTTTGTTTTGTTAATAACCATTCCCATTTACTGCATGTTTATTCGGAGTTTTCAAGGTTGATTATGTGAACCGGCCAACCTATTCACCAATGGCATTTTCTTGGCTTTTGTGACTTAGTTGCACACTATTATAGCGTATGAACCAGAAGCTGTTTTATAAAAAGATCACAATCTCCTAAATAAAATAAGCGTGAAAAGCATCTAATCTGACGTGTATACAGAAAAAAACACTTTTATGCTTTTCACTTCGTTTCCTCGTCTAATTGTAATCAATCAATCTCAATTTTACAGTGAGCTGTAAGAATTGAAAATTGATATTCTGAAAATTCTATTAGATCTACATTCCACTTGAGCTTCTGTTTGGCGCCCAGAATATAGCATGATTTCCTGTGGTTTCTCAAATCGCACCGATCCGACATACATCTGATTTAGTTCACATGATAAATGCTCATTCTCTCGGATGATCTGGTCCATCATGGGATTCTCACGTTGATACCTGTAACGTTTTCATTGAACCAACTATTATGCACAAGTCCATACTTCCTCGTGCGTGTCAGCATACCATGTGTTTTTTATTCTGCCGTGACAGGGATGGTGCTACTAAGACTACTCGCAGCCTACATTGCACACAATCGATGGGCCAGATCCTGAGCGAGAAAGAGAGAGAGCGAGTGGATAGCAGAAGGCAATCTGCATGAATCGATTACATGCAATCGGAGTTCGTGACAGTTTTGGTAAAATTGACGCGCTTCAATCACGCGTGACTGTACGTGCGGTCACTCAAACACATGCGTGTAGCGGAATTCGGAGATGAACATATTGATCGCATTCTGTAACGAATTGATTCGAGTCATGACTTGCCTATCCACCAGTTTTGGGCAACAAGATGGCATTAACAAGCGGGAATGATTTCACCGGTTGTGCTTCCAGTTAAGCTCAAAATATTAATGCATTTTCGAGATATGGGCTGATCTAGCCAAATCTATGTGGGTGAGGTACTGATTCCTAAGTGACCTAATAATGTTATCGTTGTTGCTGATAAACGCCAAACTAAGCACGTGTACGGCGCTTTCACTGGTCATGAAACAGAAATATTCTGAGACATTAGCGCTACCGTTGCTTTATCATACATCCAAAAAGATGACTCATTGTCGAGTGTAGTTTTTTTCTCTAGATTAAAAGAAAATATTTTATGTGCCTGAGATCTATTATTCTTCTGTTGACTAGAGTAACCAAAATCATTGTGGCTCTCGTGCGTGAAGAATTCAGGGCTTCTTAGTGCAACCAGACGGAAGGGGACCGGATTTATTAGGGATGCTGATGCAGATAAATCTCATACGTTGGGGAACTGAAAAGGGCACAGTACTGCTAAATTAACAGTAAATCGGGGCTATTCTCCATGTATTCCAAATTTTGCTACCTGTGTTGAAAATAATTTCCCGGTGTTGATTTGAAATTGCCTTTTAACTGAGTCATGCAATAGCCTGTTTATTTGATTGTTCAGAAAAAAGTGATTATCGTTCGAGTGAGGTTGTTTGAAAGTACTGTTAATTGTCCGATTCACACTATCTTAATACTGTAGTCAATGTATCATAATAGAACCAGATAACTATAATGATGTGAGATACCACGAAATATCGGGGCCAACCCTTGCAGCCTGGTGGTAAAGTCAGTGTGGAACTTCAAACCGTAAACGTATGAGTTCGAATTATTACAAGTTGACATTTCCTAACCCTAAACTGTATGCGGATGGTGTTTGCGAGAGTAAACAGTCCTATATATGGTATGTGAAGATTGCATAGCGTATACTGTTCCACTACTTCACTCTTCTGCAATTGGAAGAAGATGTGAGACAGGCGTGTGGTCATTGAGGATTCCTATTGTGAATTGCTTCACTTTTATAATGACTACCATACAATGTACCATTTACACATGTGTTTTTAGATGAACCTCCTATCCGAGCTGTACCGGTCCAAAACATCATGCTGGATACCATCGTGTTTCAATGCACCACAGGGAAATTCGGAGTGGTTAGAATTTAACCGCTTGGAGCTCAGCTCCGTTACCTGGGGTCTTTGTGACCATGCTTTTGAAAGCAAAATTTGATTGAAGAACCTTGTTGTCAGGAACATCCTATTGATTTTGTTATAGTGACATAATCTCCCTCCATATCTTTTGAACTGGATGCATGATTATTTTACTGACCAACCCCAATTCACCTGTTTCAATGGTATTAGAACATCTACTGTTACTGTAAACCAAGGTGTAATTCAGGGAGCAATTTTATCCCCTTTTCTGTTCTCCTTTTATATCTAAATTTCCGGTCACCACAAATGTTTTCACTTTTAAATATACCGATAACATAGTAGTTGGTGGTGCATCTGACAACAATGACCCTTCAACTAATCCCCTTCAATCAGCCATAAGTTCCATTTCTGAATGGTCCGATGATGTTAAACTTTCTTTAGACCCGAACAAATACATTTGATTTTTGTTTTCCATGAACCGTAGACCGTCAATACTTTCCGGATCATCTGTTCCCAATATCTCAATCAATAACTTAGAAGTTGAAAAGTCAGAACACCTCAAATATCTTGGATTGTTTCTGTTCTTTGATCTCAAATGGTCCTACTGCGTAGAATAAACATTTATTAAAGTTATGATGCTCACCTTTTAGATTTTACAAATTCGACATCTGAGGGGGCCATTGTACATCGTTTCTAACTTTATTTTCTCTTACGTTCTATGTCGTTAGACCTACTGCTCTCCCGTTATATTTTCCGCTCTACTGTCTAAGGATTTCACACTAGTTAGACGCTCTCAGAAAAGCATCTCAAGATGTGGAGCTGTATCTGATGAATCGCTGGTTGACGCAGTTGTGAACGATCACCTTGAGGCGTGTGACCGTCTGTGTGACTATCTTGTCTGACGCATCACATCCGTTACACTCAACCCGCTCTTGCTCCATTTCAACTTCTGTCACCGCAATAAATTTAAACCTTTATAAACTCCTAAGACAGCTATTTACAATTCCGTTGAACCTTATCTTTCACGTTCGATAATTTCCAGGGAACGAATAACAAGTGAACTTATACACAATCTCGTGTAAATTTTCATGCTGCAGTTTTCTACGTTTACTACGTGTTCTCGGTTTCTCCTCATTATCGTCTATATACTATTTGTCATATCTTTAAACTCATTTTAATAGCATATATGGGGAAGCGAAAGTGATAGCATCTTTTCATTGAAAATTCTGTCCATATTGGATGAATAAATTGCACTTCTGACTTGACTTGATTGATGGGGATGATTTTAGTGTGAAAAATAGAATACGGTGGAGTACATGCAATACTGCACAAGTACGAGGGATCAGTCAGCAACTGCCGGATAATGATGAAGCGGTAAACATATAGCGACGTACGTAGAAAATGAAAATGACAAAAGTTTTGTGCAATTCATTCGCGATGATTCGGCTTCGGAGGAAGGAAGAAGGGCTGCTGCATAGAAAGGCAGCGAGATATGACAAAATTGCGGGTTTGCATGCCGTGGTTCTTCCTTACAGAAGCTTATTTTGAGTGTGAATGCACGAAAGATATTTGGCTTCCTCATTTTGTGGTGAGGATGTGTGATATTCGATAGGAACTTACCCTGAATTATCATGTTTATTGAACTAACTGTTGAACGATGAGTTAGCTTGAGTCTATTGAATTTCATACAAGAAGATCAATTTGGTTGTTTTGAAGAATGAACAGATAGGAATGGATTTTTAACTAATACACACAGAACGGTAAACCAGTGTCATTGGAAATCGTTAACAACGAGTTCGCAACGGTTTGAAATACAATGACCACATAAAACCAGGAACGAATTAAATGACGTTGAGTTGCTTTACAGTAAAGCAAAACAATACTGTATTATTCGGATCACTAAGGCCTCCGGCTCTGCCCAACTTTTGAAACCCGTTCCACTTGTGTATACTAGCTTTATTATTCATCCGCCCCTTTTCAAGTTATGCTCAGAGCAGAGTAAAGCAGTAGAAAGCGTCCAGTTAAAAGGTTACACAAATAAACATCATCAAATTTCTACACGTTTATTTTACATTTGTCCTCAGGGAGAACTGAGGTCAGTTGACGCGATCAAACATAAAAAGTATCAGAACTGGAGACAGGTTTACAGAAAACAATAGCTACTCACTCTGGACCGCGGCAGCATCCATTGATCTCGATAAAATCCCCAATCATCAGGTTATCCGGGATAGGTTGGATAATGGGTCCATCCTGTCGGGAGATGGGATAAAAGATGGTTTTAAAGTCATTAAGCGTGGTTGAATACGAAGGACTCATGTTGACGACTAACAATATAGGATAAAACATTATTGAATTCCTTTTAATTTTCTGAAAATACTGTTATACAACCAAATTTCAGATATGGGTCATTGATCTACTCATAACGGCTGTGGGGTAGCACAGAGAATAGACTGATTTAAACCAAATTCTATTGTGTCATGAACGGTTTGTGACTTCACTGGTTCCGTTAAATGTGAATAAACGCAATATTTGCAAAATAGTTATCTTATACACATTTATGTCGAACTATTGATCGATAGACCACAATCTGTAATGGTACATACCAATTTCCAATATTGTAACTCCATTGATTCTGCCTCAGATGATATTCTGTAACCTGCGGGGTTATAGCCTTGTGCATTCCACTGTGTGCCACATTCTTCAGTGGTGTAAGGAAGCCAGGGACTGTGAACTGGTTTTCCTAGAACAAAGTTTCACATTTGCTATTCCAACCGGGGAAATAAGTAATAGTACCTGTTGGTGATGCCATTCCGTCATCCAGTTGCCGGTGCAGATTAAATCACGCGCAGTTTTATAGTTTCGAGGTTTCTGTTAGACCACTGAACTACTCGTACACTGAACCCGATAAATGTTATCAGATTTGCTGTTTCGCTCTAGGCCAACCGTGAGTTTGAGATTGGATACTTGACCTGAATACGCAATCCCGTGCAATGGCATGTAGCAAATTTTGTGCTAGTGTGCTAACACTCACTGTGGCACTCACTCACTCACTCACGCACGCACGCACGTAAACATACGCATACACACTCGTCGGCAGAGTTAGGAAGAAGGAGGAGGGGGGGGCAGAGCGACAGGGGCACATGCAAATACACACACCACTGCATAAATGAGACCGAATTCTCTTGATTAGTTCACTGTTTCCACGGATCGATAAGTGAAGGACAGCAAAGACGGCATGTTGTACCGCCTTGGCCCGGGCGAGCTTTGCTCAGACCCTTTGACCGATCAGGCTTGGCAGAGGCGTGAACACGTGTGAGCATCACACATCCACACACACCCACTCCGCGCACATACTTCTGCGGATACGTAGTGCGTAGCTGAGCATATTATTGGTTTTGTCCATTGGACAACACCATGGTTGATCACCTGATTGAATGCATCGTCATCATCCAAAACCCCGGATTCACGTGATGACTCGTAAACCGCGTTCTTCCAGTGCGTACGCCGGAATAGCAACAGTTTACCCTGCGCTCAGTGAACTCCATTTCAGACCGATCTTCGAGAGAGGGTTACACAAGTTGTGTATCAATTCCTATCACAACTACTTACCCTGGGTAGTAACTACGGCATTTCTTGAGCTATCGGTCACTGTTAAATATGTGTACCACGCTTGGGGTCTGCGGAATTAAAAGAAAATGACGATGTGAAATAAATATTTGGCCCGTACAATGTGAAGTACATGAGTAATGCCCTGTGCGAATTCCGCTCAACGATGAGTTCGGTAGTTATTATCGTTCAGCTGGCATACACCTTCATTTTATAAGCGTAGGCGTATGCAACTTGTCGGATAGAGAGACGAATTCTCCACCACCCCCGGCTCTAGTATACACATACTCATTCATGGTAAGCCGGAGAGTGATTCATTTCTTAATACGTTGACATTAGCACTATCGTACAAACCATTCCGCGAGCTTTTACGGTTAGGAGACTGAAGAGCGTGATCCGTAGACAAGTAATAAAATCGCTTCAAGTTGCACATTATTACTGTTTTTGAAACCTTCCCAATAACTTCGATTAATCCCCAGTGTTTCGGATGACGGAAATTGACCAACCAGCCCCTTACCCAACCCCCAAAAATAACGTGGTTTATGGTAAATGAGTCAAGCCCAGATTATCGCTTTTTTAAATTTCTGGCACCGATGACTTGAGAATGGCCAAATCAGCTGCCGTCTTTTTGAAAAGATCATTGGGCGAGTGCTTACCAAAAAAATGCTCGTGATCATAAGACCAGTAACTGCATGATGGAGAAGCCGAATGTCAGTGTTCGCGCGACAATAAGGAAGGCCAAACATAAAGATGTAAAGTTGATATTGCTTGTAACCAGCTGGTTCAATACAAAATGTTATGTTTCACTAGATTTTTTCGAAAACAATCCACATACTTTCCCATTGGTTAATGTCCCTAAATATTTATATCGTTTCATCTGATTTTTCATTACAATTGGTCTATGGTTGACAACAATATGACTGTATCGGTGAGTGTGCTGATTACTTGTGTGTCTGTCTATCTGTCTGTCCGCCCGATTGTCAAAAAGGATGAGTAAATAGCATGATTAATGTTTCAGTTTGCCTAACTGGTTTCAGAGTGTTTTCACAAATTCTCTGGGTGCGGATTGAACAACTCTTTTGATGGAATCACACTGATTTATTAAAACGCGTAAATTGCAAAATGTATGTTTATAGTCTTAGAAGGGTTCTTCTATAGCATCACCGTGCTATTGCCATTATGATATTGTTTCCTTATTCTACCAAAATGGAATGAAAAGGCTAACAGTACTGAACAGGAATGACTACTTGGAATGTGAAATGTCATATATTTTCCATACGTTTTCTTCGTTCCTGTTGCTTTCTCCTTGTCAGGAATGAGTATTTCACGATCCAGAGATTACTGAACTAGCTGATACAATTATATCATTATCTTCATATTTTATCCTTTGTATTAATCTTTATTTTGCTTCCTTTTATTGAAGTGAGAAGCGGCCAATCAGAGGGATGTCATACAACACACAGAGAATGGGAAAGCCTGGCGGTGGTGTTGGGATTCGATCATGATTCTTCTGGAGTGATAATTTAGCGACCTAACAACTCGACCACCACCGCAGGCTTATTGGCGAAATGAAAAAGCTAGATTATCAACCTAAATCTTACTACGTGCAATTATCCTACTGACCAATGACAATTTAAAGTTTCATTTTCGCTCTGTGCCTATCAGTGAACCTGTGGCTGGATTGGTGGTGCACAGAAGAAATCAAACGAGATTTTGAACGGTTTGAATGCGCTGGTTGATTTGTAAATGTTAACTGTTCGATTTTGACTAGGCTAATAGTTCCATCAGTTTCACTAAATTGCAACATTGTATCCTGATGAAGAAAATAAATATATATCCTGTAGTAAATAAGGAAATTCCACAGATTACTCCTGTTGATCGGTTATCGATACAATTACAGGGCGTTTATGCCTGGACCAGTATTAGTAAATCAGTTGACTCAACGCGAAATTTATCGCTACCGTTGAGGTTCAAATTCAGTAGGACCAACCTCTCTGTGTCGGTAAATTATATAAAAACAATATCGGAATCGCACAGTCAGGGAGAGGTAACCCGTCTGTGCTTATTTGCGGGTGAAGTAGAATGACAATAATGAATAATGTTGTGTTCAAGAAGAGTTTACGAAAGTGACCAGACAGAAGTGAAATATCGTTGCGTCTCGAGCACTGAAATCGCCTTAGTTCGGCCAGTGATGAAACATTTGCAAACAGAACAAAACAGCTACAGTGGTGAATTCAATTGAAAACTTTTAAGTTAAACTGTATTGTTTCAACTACACCAAAAGTTGAAAATAATGTTGAACGATTGTAGCTCAGGATGTGAATGTTGTTGGTGAGCCTCACGGTACGCCGTTTTCGGGTTCTGGACGAGAAGGTTTTCAAAATCGCTATTTGATGCTAACATATTTGTTTCGGATTAAAATCACTTACAGGAGGTTTTGGAATCGGAAAGGTAACCGACGATGCAAGCACAAACGGTTCATGATAGAATAGCTCTACTATTTTCGAGCCACAATCGTACGTCATCTTAAACCCTATTGCTGTTCGTCATCATAACTGAAATGGTATGAGCAAAGTGTCGCGTCATTTGCACAATGATGGAAAATAATTTATATAGAATGCTTTAGCCCCCAGGAACTGCCTTGTCATTGTGAAGTCTAGCTAGACAGGTTTCCGAAGATAGAAGCAATGTTTTATCCAGGGGGAGATGAACCGGTTCCCAGATTGAGATCGTGGGATTTGTGGATCTAGTTATCAAAGCAGTTTGCACTGTTATTTCCCTTTTAATTTGGATTATCGTCCATTTCCGCAGAGATTCACCACTTCGAAAATAGCGGAAGCATTAACTGTGCAATCGCAAGAACTGTGTATCACGATAATGGTGTATAGCGTATTGCATATTTATCAATCATAGCTAGAACCAGTGCTTTGGACATCAAGCGTATCAATTTTTTCAGCCATTTAAAATTTGTGTGCATGATTTCCACTCTAAAGGCACTCCTCAAGGCCAAATAGACTAAACCATTGATGAGCTGGTGTACTAGAAAAACAAATGACGGAAAGACCGAATTTACTGATTGAAGAAAGCGAAACAAATTCTGGTTTGTATTTAAACTCGACGTTTTCACCATCGGTTGAATAATCTTCGAACGGAATAACCAAGCTAAATTCCGAATTAACCTTCTAGTTTCCCTTTCGGTTAACATCAGGTACCGGATACAAATACATCACATGAAGTAAACAGTATAAGCCTAAGTTTTGGAACGTTTTAATATTTTCCACTCCCTTAGCTTCCAGATGTTCCCCCCCCCCCTCAATGCACACCTAAACATATGTCAGAAATAGAGCACAAGAGACACGAGGTCAAATGCAACATCGGCGGGTAAAATAGTTAAAACTGTTAGTCTGGCGCCAAATCACATGACAAGTAGGTTTGATCTTTTTGAGAAAACTGGTGTGTAGTTTTCATTGAACCAGATGGCACGCTGTGATAGATGACAAACAGCATGGTGATGTCACATTTTCCTACATCACTTGAGGTATCGATTTATTGGAAGTTACTACTTTTAATTGTAACGTGACACATTGGTATGATATATACATGNCGTAGTTAGAACGGTGAATGTTTGAGATTGCGTTTTTATT